TAATTTCCCGTTACCCCCCCCCCCCCCCCCCAAATTTCCTAAAGGAGCTTAGTTTCTTTAATTGTAGAGGTGGTATCTTCAGTTTCTTTTGGTTTTATTTTTCCCTTGATAGTTCTTGGGTTTTAGGTTTTTTCTTTCTCTTCGTTTTCTTCTCTGCTGAGATGGGTGGGGTTTCTATTTCTTTCATCAACCTTGAAGCATGTTTATGTTGTAATATTTTGATTTTAAAATTGAGGATTATTCTCTTGTGTTGCTACTCCTGTTAGTGCAGATGTGTACCTGCGTAGCTGTTATAAAGATTTCTGAATATTTGTGCTATCTAACTGTTTCCAAACTCTTTTGCAATGCTTAGGTTGCTTCCTGGTATCACTTAATTCATCTTGGAGACTCTTCACTCTAGCCCTTAATCTTTTGTCACTACATTCATCTTCCAATTTAATGGTAAAGCCAGCTGAGTCCCCTTCTCTTCTTATAACTGTTGAAACATTGCTGCCTTTGTTTTTAACTAAAGTGGAGTTCTTCTTGCTTCTTTTGCAGTGCATAGGGTAAAAAATGAGCCGGAAGACCATTGTCCAATGAAATCGGTTGTGAAGATTTCAGTAGCTTGTGACCAACCATTTAAGTCATGACTAGTTTCTTCGGGCTGCTTCTGTTTTTTCCCTCTTCTGATTGAGAACTTAACTTGAGATTGATGTTCTTACTTTTTTGATGGATAAGCAACCTTGATGATGTTCTTGCTGTTTTGTTCATCTGCTGTTTGGGGAAGATCTTGTCTATGTTTACTGAACTGTCTGGATGTCTTAAACAAGTTTGGTGGCCATCAATAGCGGCCTCTGCTGTGATCAGGATGCTTCTTGCCCCTCTCTGTAATTAGTCTTTAACTTCCTCTTGGCTAAAGTTGATGGCTTTATTGCTCTTTGTTTAAGTTTTTATATTCTGTGCTATTTTCTGCTACATGAAGCAAATGTGACATTTTTTGTCGCGTTTTGGATGAAAGACTGTTGAATTTTTTTTTTTGCCGGAACACTATTTTGGAAAGGTGGTTTTCCAGTTTTTTGAAAACATGAAAATGTTTTCTCTAATCACTTTTTATTTTAAAAAAAACTATACTGAACCTTTTTATCGCTCAATACTCACTGGGAGAACAATGTCTTCACGAACTAAAATGATGGATGGGAACTGTCTAGGGACAGCTTCTCATCCCTAATGAATGCGATTTCTGTTAAAGCTTTAGTAAAGCCAAATTGATGATTTTAGATTGAGGCAATTCCTTTTAACCAAAATATAACAAAAACAAATAAAACGAGGAATAAATTTGATCGGAATCACTAGCTTAAGGTAAAAAATTGCGAAACGCGAGGATATACTCTCCATAGTTGGAATTGAGGTTGTATATAGCTGGCCTAATTAAGATTGGGTTGAGGATTAATATTAGTTTGAGGCTTATAACCTGTTTTGTTTTACATGTTTATACCGAAAAAAAAAAAGAAAAGAGGCATTTTACCATCAAAAGAAATAACTAAAAGTAACAATTTTGGAACATCATATAAGTACCAGGATACCATAATATGTACTACTATTTCGCACATAGGACGGTTTTATGATTTACGTAGAAAATTAAAGTGCAAAATAGAAAAAGAGGTATATGTTGGCGATTCGGTACAAAAAAGGAACTTATTTGGTTTAACTACTTGCTAATGTTTCACTTGCTAGGACTGCAAGTCATTCAATAGATTTGCAAAAACAATAAGGCATTTTGCTGTAAAATTGACCCTTCTCTTTCAATACCCCACCCCAAATAGGTAAGGGCTATCTAGCATTCCATATCTAGTTCTGCAATAGGGAAAAGAATTCAGCTATTTGAAAAATGGCAGGCTATCTTGAAGCAGGATCTCTGTATCTCTTGAAAATGTCTTCAATATCATCCATTACTTGAGGTGGCAAAGGCCTCTCAGTTGTCAAAAAAGCATCAATATCTTCTTTTAATTGATCCACAGAAGTTGCGCCTATAATTGAACTCGTCATAAATGGCCGGTCTCGTGCAAATCCTAGAGCTAACTCAACTAGAGTTAGACCATGTTTTTTGGCCACTTCTTCATACTTTTTAGTTGCTTCCTGGAAGTCAAACATAAAACACACTAAAGATCTAAGTAACCATTAACTAGCAGCATGGAATAAACTTCTCACATCGTCTATGTCTACAGTCATGGATGGCATTGATACTGAAGTTGGTAATGTAATGTACATTGTAACGCTAAAGACAACTAACATTTTTCTACTTATTCTTCAACGTTCTTCTACTATCCGGTCCTCCAATATACAAGGAAACACAAAGTAATGCCCCTTAACAACAGCCAAAACTTCCATAAACGTGGCAACACAAGTTCGCTTTAGGATTCTCATTCCCTCCCAGCAAAAACACTTGAAACTAAGAATTGATAGTGTGTAAATTAAGAATGCTAGACTGAACGAGAGGGACCGATTCTATATAATTGTATCTAATTTCTTTTATTACACATAAATGCACAAAGGAGGGTAGGCCAGTCAAAAGAACAAGGTGCAACAGGTGCTCCCAGTCAGTGTTGTCAAAGGCGCGCTTAAGCCCTAAAGCGAGGCTCAAAACATGTTGAGCGCTTCGCCTCGCTTTGTGGGCGCTTTAGTATCGCATTAAGGCTCTTAGGCATACTTTTACTTGCCAATGAGTGTAATCCTGAAAAGGCAACATTAAACAATTGATATTTCACTTTATCGTAAATTTTTTCCAATTTCTTTGTCCATATATTTGTTATTCATGCTTATAATTATTAGTCTTAGACTACATATACATATTTTTACTTTTTCTCCAGTTGCGCTTTTTTTCATTAAAGCCCACTCTTTATTTGCGCTTTGCGCATAAAGCCCCAACAGACCTTAGAGCTTTTTTGCGCTTTTCGCCTTTGATAACACTGCTCCCAGTAAAATCAATAGGAAATACTATTTGCTTCATGAGAATAATTTACTGAAAATTCCAAGTTATTTAGATATTCAGCTTCTTATTATTTTATTTTTTTAGAGGGGGTGGGGGTGGG